TAGTGGGCACCTTTGTCTCATTATAAAGCGTATGCCTTTACTTTTTGCCTCTTTAGGATGCTATTTGATGCAGACACTTTTTCCTTAGATATTCCTAATCTGGTTAAGGATGTTCCCCTCTGTTCCAATTTACTAAGAATTTTTATCATGAATAGTAGTTGATTTTTTAAGAAGTTGATTTTTTTGCATCTTCTGATATAAGCATGTGTGTTTTTATTGTCTTCTAATCTGTTAATGCGATAAATTACATTCATAACTTTTCTAACATTAAACCATCCTTGAATACCTGGGATAAATCCAGCTAGGTCATTATTTATTATTGTTTTTTAATACAGTTAGATTTGGTTTGTTAATATTTTGTATAAGAGTTTTGCATCTATAGTAATGAATGAGACTGACCTATTATTTTCTTGTCTGATAATATTTTTCTCTGCTTTTGGTATCATAGTTATGCTAGAATAGTCTATATAAAATCAGGATGATCTGTTCCTTGAAAGTTTGATGGAACATACCTGTAAAATTATCTGGGCCAAGTGTTGTCTTTGTGGGAAGATTTTTGACCACTGCCTTAATTTCATCAACACTTAGAAGAAAACTCAGGCTTTCCTTTCCTATCTTTAAATGTTTTATTATCCCTTTCATGTCTTTCTGATCCACTTCTTTTTTTTCTTCATCTCCCCAAAGCCCCCCGGTTCATAGTTGTATTTTCTAGTTGTAGATCTTTCTGGCTCTGCTATGTGGAACGCTGCCGCAGCATGGCCTGATGAGCAATGCTAGGTCTGCGTCCAGGATCTGCACCAGTGAAACCCTGGGCTGCTGAAGCATAGAGTGCAAACTTAACCACTCGGCCATGGGGCTGGCCTCTTGATCCACTTCTAAGGCTCTGTTATTCTAGGAATTTGTTCATTTTGTTTAAGTTTTCAAAAGTGTTGGCATATAGTTGTTAATAATATGGATAAACTCTTGATCTTAGTTCATTAATTCTTCTCCACGCTGGCCCAGTTCTTTTGCAAGTGCTGTATCCTTCACGGTTACAAGAGGAATACTTAGGAGCTTGGGTGGTCTCCAACCCTTGAGCTCTGGATAAGTGGTGGGGGCAAACAGGCATAGACTTCCGACCCTTCTAGAACCCCACTTCTGCTTTGGGCTGCTGTTTCTCTCTCCTTCTCTTTATACGTCCCCACCTTATCCGTTGGGGCAACCATGGCACTCGGGGATTCTTCTTTTTCGGATGGTGTGGAGAGTTCCCTTCACCTCCTTCTGGCTTCCGCAGAGTCTCTGGATTGATGGGGGAGGGAGCCACAGCTCAGGCTTTCTTCCTCTTGTTAGTAGCTGGAGGCCCTTTAGCTGTGACCTCAGGCTTCTGCACCAGTGGTTTCCTCTGCCTGAGGAAACTTGGCCTGATTTATGCCTCACTTCAGATCTCCTGGATCCATGCCTCATCCCCCTCCTCAGGGCACCCCTGAGTACCTGTGTGACCCTGTCACACTCACCTACTCATTGCCATCTGGTTTCTGGACAGTCTCCCATGATGCTGTGAGCTCCTTTAGCATGAAAACTGTGATTTGCCCATTTTGAAAGCTCCAGTGCTTATTATGTGCCTGGCACATAGTAGGTGCTCTACGCTCTACATATGTAAAAAAAACCCTAATCAACACCTATGTTCATAGCAGCATCATTCACAGTAGCCAAAAGGTGGAAACAACTCAAGCATCCATAGACGGATGAATGGATAAGCAAAATGTGGTAAATACATACAGTGGAATATTATTCAGCCTTAAAAAGGAAGGACATTCTGACACATGCGTCAACACTGGGTGATCCTTGAGGATGTTATGCTAAGTGAAATAAGCCAGGTGCAAAAGGACAAATACTTCATGATTCCACTTAAAGGGGTACCTAGTGTAGTCAAATTCATAGAGACAGAAAGTAGAGTGGTGGTTGCCAGGGCCTGAAGGGAGCGGGGGTGGGGATTTATTGTTTATGGAACAGCGTTTCAGTTCGGGAAGATGAAAGCGTTCTGGGGATGGATGGTGGTGGTGGCACTTAATGCCACTGAGCTAACTGCACACTGAAAAATCGTGCAGGTGGTAATTTTTATGTTATGTGTGTGTCGATGCAGATAATTCATAATCAATCTATAAATCAAAATTGAGGTGAGTTGATTATGAGCCAGATCTGAGGACTAGCCCGGGGCCTGCCTTCCCTGTGGAAGGATGGGCACCCCAGAAGTGGGTGTACAGAGTGGTCATATACCATCTTGGAACATAGAGCATCCATCACATATGACAGGAATAGCTCCTTTCCTACTGTCACGAGATGCTTCACTGGCACAGCAGGTCAGGGGTCAGCAGGTCAGTGGTCACAAGGTGAGCATGGCAGGTCACTAATTAATCCTTAGTTTCCAGGAAGAGATCCTTATCCTTAAAGAAATGCCGGTATGGGGGGAGGTTACATCCCTATCTTTAAGGGCATCATTCTTGTCTTTGGGACATTGTAAATGTTTAAAGCAGATGTACAATGCGTGCTCAACAGGCCACATCAGGCTGCTTTGGAAAAACAAGCTCAGGCCAAATTAGTTTTAAACCTAGTGACTTCCTCATATCACTCCAGTATATCCTGTTGCTTTTCAATTATTTATTAGTATTTTACCACAGTTAAAAATTTTAAAAATTAAGAAAAACTAATAAAAAAAAATGTAACACTATCATGTGAGTTGTCTGAGGTCACACAACTTTTTCTAGATAGAACTATTGTTCCCGGGCATATAATTCTCAAAAACCTAGGCACTTTCATCAAAGATCTAAGTATAAAAATTAAAACTAGAAAAGTATAGAATATATTTACAATATTATGATGATACTGAGCACTTAAAATATGCTTATTGTTTGTATTTCTTCTGAGTGTCTTCACATTATTTGCCCGTTTTTTTCTACTGAGTCGTCTTTTTCTTGTTGAATTACTGAAGCTCTTTAAAGGTTAGTGTTGTTAACTCTTTTTTTTGTTAAATGTGCTACAAATCTGTTCTCCCGATGTGCATTCGGTTTGAACTTTGCTCATGGTCTCCTTAGCCCCACGGATGCGTTTAGCCTTCATGCATTTACGTTCTCCAGTCTTTTCCTTTGTGGCTTCTGAGGCTCCTGCCGACTGTGAAAGTCCTGGGGCTGCTCCACTGTTATCTCTAAGTGTCGCCTCTGAGAAATAAAACAGCTGCTGCTGCTTTTCTAAAAACCTGCTACGGTCTTAATAAATTAGTTCACGAGGGACAAACTGCCCTCTCCCTGGCTCCTGAGCGTGCCACATGCGGTCCTGCTTGTTTGGCTGTTTCCATGCCCTGCAGCACCCTTTCCCACTTAGCTTCGCTCCTGCAGGTTCCTCCTGGCCTGCTGGTCCTGCCGTTCCATACACACAACACTTCCCTTTTCCCCTCCTCTGAGTCCTGCCAGCCCCAGGCCAGCTCTGAAACCAGTGAGGCTGGACTGGTGCTGTCGTCCCCCCGCAGGGTGTGAATCTTTCCATCTCTGAGGTGGAGGGGAGTCGGCTTGTGCAGGATTGTGAACTAGGGCTGGAACCCCAGGAGGTTTGTTCCTAACCCTACATCCCTGCCTTCTTCCAGGGAGGCCTTTGCTGCGACAGTGGCTCTGCAGTGACCTGTGACCCTGCTGTCGGGCATGTGTGGCCAGTGTTCTGGGAGTCCCAGGAAGACACCCAGGGCCCGCCTTACTCCCTGGGCCCTCCCTTGGGGCTGGCCGCAGTGCGTGGGTGGCCAGGCTGTGTCGGGTTGGGCTGATGGTAGCTCAGGACCCACAGTTGAGGGTGTGGTCAGGACTGAGTCTGGGGCAATATTTGGGCCTGGCTCCATCTGGAGTTGAGATCAGGGACTCATGGGGCTCAGTTTGGAAGTAAGAGGAGGGATTTCATGGGGCTGTGCCCAGGGCCTGGCTGGAGGGGCCTGGTGCTGAGGTAGAGGCAGAGGCCCATGGGGGGTCAGGGCCTCCTGGGCCAGTGCAGGGTCCCCTTGGTACTCAGCACTCCCTTGGCTCCAATCTTGCACATGTGCCGTGTGCTGTGGCCGGCTGGGTCCCCTTGGTACTCAGCACTCCCTTGGCTCCAATCTTGCACATGTGCCGTGTGCTGTGGCCGGCTGGCTCTCGGTGGCCTTTAGGGAAGGCAGCAGGGCCAAGCTGGGCCTAGCACCTGCTCCCTGACCTTTGCTTGGGGTCAGGTGGGATGTGTCTAGTCCTGGCCTGAGCCCTGTAGAGGGTCCAGAGGCCAGGGTCCAGCCCTCCCTCTGCCCTAGACCCACTGGGTGACCTCAGGCAGTCCCTCCCCCTCTTGGCTGTCTGTGCATTCAACCAATATTTTCGTTTCTCTTATGGCCCAGGCATTGTTGTCAGTGTCCCCATCATTCAAATGTAACAGGGATCACAACCCTGCCCGCCTCGTGTACACGTGGGATGTAAAAAGCTGTGGCATGCTGTGCTGCCATCATGTGGCCGAACTGACCCTCTAGCTGCGAGGGCACAGCCCAGAGCACACTTGGTAGCTGCCTGGAGCTGACCTCCGGGAATCCATTAAACCCGTCCATTCCCACCTCCACCTCTGAGCGACTGGGATGCACCTTCCTCACTGTTCCCAAAACCTTCCTTTCCAGGACCACCTGGCTTTCCAGGAGCATTGAGGTGACCCTGGAGATCCAGGCTCTAGTCCTGAAGGGGGCATGACCTTGACCCCTGCCCCCTCCGAGGCCCAGAACCCCCCACTGGGACTTGCTGGGGTGATTCCCATGAATCCTCCCTGCTCTGCCCCCCCCTCCCAGGAGGGCCGGTTCCCTCAGCACCTCTGTCCCTCCGCATGCTGGCCTGGGCTCAGCTGAGCCTTTCCCTGGGGCGGGAAGTGGGGAGGATCAGGGCAGCCACTGGGCATGGGAGGAGAGGTGGGAGGGTGTTTAGGGCCCAGGGCTCCCTTGTTCACCGCAACCACAGACACGCAGACCCAAGCAGTGCTCAGCCTTCTATTAGATCCTGCCTGCCTGCATGCGTCTTCTCGAGCACACTCCGCGTGGGGGGGGTGTGTTCTGGTGGCTGGGCAGGGTGTAGGGGAGGGGACTTGGCATCCTGTCCCCTGAGAAGGGACTTTGGTGAGGTTCATGTGTTTTTGGCAGTGGCTGGGAAAGGGCTTTCATGCCCTGCATGGGGGTGCAGGGGCAGTGGTGTCTCAGACCTGGACACAGGGCCCTTCCTGTGGGGAGCAGCCCGGGAATGGGCAGGCACCAGCTGAGGCCTGGGCTCTCTTAGGGGGCCTTCCCTCGGTGCCGCCAGGTCCAGCCCTCTGGCCCAACTCCCTAGAAGATGTCCTTTCTTGCAAGGTCACCTGTGTTACATTGGCTGTGTGCCCCTTGCCTGCCACTGTGCCCTCTCGGCCCATTTCCTGCACTGGGAGCTGGGCCCCTAACCCCTCAGAGGGAGGATCCCCTGAGAGGGTCCTGTGGGGTTGTGGGCTGGAGTTGGTGCAGACAGTGTGTGGGGGGAGCAGGTGACTGGGATAGGGGCTGGGCGTGCGGGGGCTGGGGTGGCCTAGTCGTCTTTGTCCTTGGCGCCATGTTTGAGGATGCGGGTGAACTCCACATAGTTGAAGTTGCCTTTCTTATCAATGGGCGCCTCTCGGTACATCTCATCCACCTCCTCGTCTGTGAAGCGGTCGCCCATGGTGGTGAGCAACTCCCGAAGGTGGTCCTCATGGATGAAGCCTGGGGGCAGGGCCAGGGTCGAGGCTTGAGACGGGGACTTAGGCTGGGACACACTTCACACCCCCTCCCCTTGGCCCCCATCAGCCCTTGCAGACCCTGTAGTGGGGTAGGGGCCAGGAAAATACAGCTCTAGTCTCTGGTCAGTTTGAGCTTGCCAGGGCCCCAGAGGGAAGAGTTCTGCAGTGGGACTATCTGTGAGGTGATTCTGTGGGGAACGTGGGGCTGGGAGTGAGAGGGGTGCTGGGTGTGTCCTGCTTTAAGAGCAGGAGCCCCAGAGTTCCACTGCCTGAGTTTGAATCCCCTTCTTCCTAGCTGTGTGTCCGGGTCAAGGTACTTAACCTCTCTGTGCCTGTTTGATCTGTAAAATGGGATGTAAATATGTCAACCTGGTAGGGACTGTGAAGGTAGTCAGGAAAATGTTCTGAATATACATAGGCCTGGGTGGGCCTGTGGCCCCTGAGAAACGACTGAAACTACTACTGCCAGCATCACTCTGGCTTGTCCCTGGGAAAAACTAGCTGTGGGACAGGAAGTCCTTTGGAAGATTTGAGGATGGGGACTGGTTTCTGTACTTTGTTAGCCAGAAGGACCTGGAATGGTCTGGTTTCTGGAAAGGTCTAAAGCAGAGGCAGAGTGTGTCGGGCCAACAGGTGAACTCAAGAAGTGGGAAGCCTTGGTGGGTGTGGGCTGGTTTGGTCTAGCATTTGCGGGAGAACAAGGAAGCTGCATGACATTGTAGTTCCAGTGACAGAAACCAGCGGACAGGTGATTTCTGTTCTGGCCTTTGGGGGCAGAGGCCCTGAAGCCCCTGTGCAGCCCAGCCTCCCTCGCATACCGGGGGCACCCCCCACCCCCAGGCTGCCAACCTGAGGCCTCCTCGTCGAAGCAGGCGAAGGCATTGCGGATCACGTCCTCGGGGTCTGTGCCATTCAGCTTCTCCCCAAACATCGTGAGGAACATGGTGAAGTTGATGGGCCCCGGGGCCTCGCTCATCATGCCCTCCAGGTACTCGTCTGTGGGGTTCTTCCCTGTGGTGGGGGGGCACGCATGCTGCTGTCACTGCCTGTCCCTTCCCGCCTCCCTGTCCCCTCCCTTCAGGGCCCACTGCGAGTCCCACAGACGGGAGATAGTGACTTGTAGACTGAAGCATCTTGCGGGGCGGCCAGCTTGACCGCTCCCTCCTGCAGGCTCTCCGGCCGCCTCGACCGGCTTCCTGCTCTGGGCTCATATCCACGCCCAGGCGTGCTTCCTAAAGTAGAAGAGCCCCGTCTGCTGACGCCTCACTCCGGCTGGTGCTCCCCGTGCCTTTTCGCATAACTGTCACCACCCTGTGATTCTTCCCCCACTTTGCAGGTGTGGACCTGAGGCACACAGGTGAAGAGACCCGTCCCAGGTCATACAGTGAGGAAGGAGTGGAGCCAGGCAGCCAGGCCCTAGATTCCAGGCACAGTAGAGAAATTGCTTAAACCAGTGAGCTTTAGTGTCACACAGGCTGGGGTCTGAATCCCAGCCCTGTGCCTCAGTTTCCCCTGCCTCTTAGGAGAATTGTGAAGATGAAGAAGACAATGGTTGTAAACCACATGATAATGATTGGAAAGGCCCTGTGGACCCTGGAATCAACGGCTGGGTTCAAATCCCAGCTCTACCTGTGGCTACCTGTGGTAGCTGTGTGACCTTGGACAAATTACTTAATCTCTCTGAGCCTGTTTCCTCATTTGTAAAGTGGGAATGATAATCACATCCACCCAATAGGATTGCTTTGAGATTTAAGGTTAATGCTTGCAGAGCTGCTTCTTGTTATTATTATTTTATTATTTACTGCTGTTGTTTTTTAACCTCAGGATGATATTCTTAACCAGAGGCCATGACTGATCTGTGGATCCACTGACATGAGCTACAAACAGGAGTGTGGGGTTCTTCTGGGTAGATGCCCAGGGCTGTCATCAGGTCTCTGGGGTCTCTGCCCTGGGTGCAGGGTGCTGCCTCATAAATGGGAAGAAGTCTCCTTGTCCTTGTCTCCTCTGAGCCTCGCTCACCCTGCTGTGTCCCTACGGGATGGCCACGGCCCCAGAGGATCTATGATGTCAGGACCCACCAGCCCCTCCCCTCACCAGCCTCAGTTCTCCTTCCTGCTGGGTGACCTCCTGGGGGAGAATCTTCAAGCAAGGTTGGCCTGAAGCTGGGAGAGGTTTGGCACCCAGGGTGGGGGCCATGTCCACTGTCAGCCCTCCCAATGGTCACCTTGGGGATGCTCACAAGGGCCACAGTCATTATTGCACAGGAAGGGAAACAGACACAAAGCAGGGCCACCCAGCTGTGAGGGGCAGCACCAGGGACTGACTCAGGCCTATCTGGCCCCAGAGCTTGGGGCTTGACCACCACAGGCGCCTCCTCTGCTGCCAGAGGCTGTCCCTCTCCCCTGGCCAGTGTCTGGTCCACACTCTCACCTGGATGAAAGGGGTGCCAGGAACTGGGGCTGAGTGTGATTGTCTGTGGCCAGCACATGGGGAGGGATGTGGGGGCAGGGCCACAGGTTGGGGGGCTGATGTCTGGAGGCCTGGCCTCTGGGCCTCAGTTTCCCCATCTGAGCAGTGGTGAATTGTACTAGATTCCTGAGCCCTTTCAGCTCTAAGACTGGTTTTAGGGAAGTCACTGGTGTCAGAGGCTCTGAGAACCTGGCATGGCTGACCTCTGAAGGAGGGGAGGTAGTCTGGCCTCCCCTCTAGGCCTCAGTTTCCCCATCTGTACAATGGAAAGCCTGTGCAGTCCAAACTTTCTTTTAGTTGCTGATCCCTTTCTTTAAATGAAATGGTACTGTGCAGCCCAGCCCACAAATCTGCCTGAGGCAGTTCTGCTCCGGAGCGAGCCTGTCTAGGTTCAAATCCAGCACTAGATTGCCCTGGGCCTCAGTTTCCTGTCTGTTAAGTGGAGACAGTAATGGCACCTACTCTCCAGGATGGGGACCATGTGTCACTAGACAGGAAGCGCTCCATGAGTGATGAGCAGCCCCACTGCTTGCTCCAGATGCAGCCCTTGTGGGGCCCACTTAGACCCCACCCATCTCGGTCCCTGCTCACCCATCGAGGCCAGCATGTCATGCAAGTCCTCCTTGTCAATGAAGCCATCTCGGTTCTGGTCGATCATGTTGAAGGCCTCCTTAAACTCCTGGATCTGGGACTGGTCAAACATTGCGAAGACATTGGATGTGGCCCGCTGTGGCCGCTTCTTAGTGGTCTTGGCCTTGGCCCGTTTGCTGGACATCTTGGCTTCAGGTAGGTGGGAGTTCCCTGTAGGAAGTGAGTGTCAGGGGGAGAGCCTATGATCCTGGGCCAGGGAATCCTCCTGCTGTCCCCAGACTGGCTGTCAGTGCTTGGGCCTGGCATTCAAGGCTTCCCAAAGGCTTGGGGCTGCTCCCACCCAGATCAGCACAAAAGCAGACAAGCGTGGGCTGTGTGTGATCGTAAACAACTTCCTCTACCTCTGTGAGCAAGTTTCTTCATTTGGGAATGGGGACATGAGGAATGCCCAGCAGTAGAGATTAATTAACTTAGTGCCTGAGAAGGCCTGGACTGGTGCCGGGCGCAGAGTAAGCTATTTTTGCTGTGACTGTTTTGGTAAGGCACTTAGGATTGGGTTCGGTGCCAACCATTTCCATGCTTTATCTCCTTTAATCCTCAATAGCATTTACGCTGTCCATCTCTCTCTCCAAGTGACAAGGTGGGTGGACATATGGGAGGTTGTGAGGCTCCCTGCAGGCCGAGGCCTCCTCCCCCCACCCAGCAGGAGGGAGCTGGATCAGCCGCCCTGCATTCCTGACATTCCTCATCCTCTCTCCTCCTCCCCATCCCTCTGCACTCCCTGCTCTGGGGAGCCTCCCCTCCCCCACCTGCCCACAGGTGCCCAGCCCCTTAGGTGGGTGATAGATCTGGTGTAGGCCCTACTCCTGCCCTCACCCCTCAGTACTGATGGGGGTGCGAGACTCCCCCGGGCTGAGAACCCCAGCTTCTTGTTCCCCTTATTTAGACCCGGCGTCCTAGCCTCCAGCCAGTCTCTCCCGTCCGTCCCATACGGATCCAGACCTGCAGCTCTCACTTCACCTTGAAGGTTCCTGCCACCCACTGGAGCAAGTCTGGGCCCCTCAGCCTGGCGTTCAAGGCCCTGTGTGAATGTGAACCCCTCTTGCCCTTTGCCCTGACCGACTGTGGTACTCCTCGCTGTGTCCCTCCTGCCATCTGTGATCCTGCCAGGCTGGGTCTCTGTCTGTTCTCGAGACACCCTCAGACTTTCTTTCTTGCTCCCTCCCGCTGGATCATCCTTCCTTCTCCAGCCCAGTTCTTGAGACACACCCTTGGGGAGCAGTTCCCACACCCCTGCTTTGACAATAAGAACTTAAAGGTTTCTCTCCCTCAGTCACTCAGGGCTGGTATAAATCCCCTGATTTACACCAAAGCCCACAGTCGGGCTAACAGATGCTTGTTTAATGAATGACTCTGAGGGCACCCATGGCCAGTCTGCTGCCCCCACTGTACAGATGGGGAAACTGAGGCCCAGCAAGGGGCTCTTTCCCTGAACCTTTGTCATGACTTGTGAGGGCCTAGTGCCATGTGCCCCTCGGCTAGGGCAGTTGTGAGCCTGGCCGAGGCCTCAGGACTGCTGCCCGCTTCCTTCCTCTGCCCCTGAACCCCTTGCTCGAGGGCCTCCAGGAAGCCTTCTCAGCCTGTTTTTCACCCCACACTGTGTGGTTGTGAGTGCTCTCCAAGCTCTCTGCAGGCCTTTATCCCAAGACCCTGCTCCAGTCCGTCCTGGTTTTTGGGCTTTGAGATCTGAAACCCTGAGCTGGGATCCTGGCCAGCCCCAGCTGTCCCCAGGGCCACAGCTGCCTGTAGTCATGAGACACTGGCTGCTGTGTCCCACTGGATGGACACACCTGGCCCTCGGTGTTTCTCACACGGCTCAGGATGGGTCCACAAAAGCCCTTCTCGCCTGGGACCTGGGCAAGAGTGGGATGGTGCGTCAGCAGGGAGTGCCATCCTCTCCTGTGGCTTAGTGCTTCCTGGGGCCCATCCCTCCATGAGCCCTGTGCTCTTTGGGAGCTTTGACTCTGGCACCCACTGAAGGCAGCCGAGGAGAAGTCCACAGAGGCTATGATGGTCATCATCACTGTCACCACCACCCTCCTGTCTGCAAAGCTCTAGGGTAGACATGGCCAGGAGGAGAGAGGAAGCCACAGCCAGAGGCAGGAATGGCCAAGAGCTCAGCCACTGCTCTGATACTGGCTGGGCCCCTCTGCCTCCACAGCCGCCCTAGGCCCACCCTCTTCTATCAAGGGGCCATGACACGGCTGAGAACACTTAACTTTATGGTTTGTCCATCCCGGCAATCTTGGAAAGCAGGTGGAGAGGGTGGGGTGGCCCCTACTGTGCAGTTATTAGAACTGAGGCCCAGGAAGGGAAATGGCATGCCCATGAGAGGGGACAAGTCCAGTTGGAAGCTAGGACCCCTGGGCTGGTCCTGGGTCAGTAGGTGGCACATGGCCCTTGGTGCCCTCGAGGCCTGAACACAGAAGGAAACCTCTGTCCGAAGAGGCAGCTGTGAGGGGCTCAGGGCTGTGTGTGGCCAGAGGCAGTTTCTAGGCTTGGTTGAGGGACTGGGGTCAGAGACAGCTGGGCCCTTAGCCTTGGAGCCATTACCTCCCCTTCCTAGGGGTCCTAGACACCAGGGATCAGATATAGCTGGTACTTAACCTGGCTGCAAAAAGGTGCCACCTCCCCCCTTCTGGTGCCTGAAATCCCACCATAACAGCAAAGACAAGGCCTGTGTCCCCCATTACCTCGTGGTGCCTGTGGCTGGCAGTGCCAGTTGCCTCGCTCGTAAACTCACCTCATCTGACTTTCCTGAGAGCAGCCAGAGCAGCTGGAGGGCTGGGAGGAGCAGGGCTGAGTCCCCCACCCAGGTCCTTGCCCGCCTTGTAAGGGCTGAGCCTGCAGGGCCCTGGCAGACCTTCCCCACCACCAGGCCCAGGTGGGTAGATGGCCCGGAGCACGGAAGCCCCGTGCATGGCACACAGCTTTGGGGTGTATGGGGCGAAGTGACCCCAGCCTCTCCATCCCTCTCCTGCTCCAGGAGATGGGGGAGGGGACTGGATGCTCCGCAGGGGTCTCATGGAGCCTGACAGGGCTCAGTTTCCTATTTGTGACACTTGGGTCTACTGGGGCAGGGAATGCCCTGCGATCACGACCCCCTTCCTCCTCCCGGGCACCCTGGAGCTCTGGGTTTGGAGTCCCTAACTCCACAGCTAAGGGCAGGGCCTTGGACAGTCTTCCCTCACCAAAGGGCCACGGGTTCCCAGAGCCCTGAGCAGTCTCCCTGCTGCCCAGCCCCAGCCCGAATCCCTGTCGCACCCGGGCAACCTCGCAGCCCCAGCCCCGCCGTGGCTGTCCAGGCCCAGAGACCCTCCGACGCCCCAGTCCGCGGGGCCTGCCCCCGCTCAGCCCCGGCCGTCGCGGCGCCTACTCTAGACCACCTGGGCGGCCGGCCGGGCTCCCACCTGGTGCGGAGAAGGCGCTCGCTCGCTCGGTGCGCGGAGCCGGGTGCGGAGCCCGCGGCCGAGGGTCGCTCGGGTGGGTTGGCGGGCGGGGCGGGGCGGGGCGCGGCGCCGGGCCTTACAAGGCAGAAGAATGTGCGCGGGGCGGGGCGGGGCCGCGGCGGCCCGCCCGGCCTTATTTGGCCGAGACCCACGGGCTGGGAGGAGGGGGCGCTCCTGGGTGAACCCCCAGGCTGCGATGAGGGCCTTGCCCGTTGTAGGCCCGGGCAGGTGATGGCGGTGACTGGGCCTGGACATCCTGGGCCGTCCCTTCCTCTCCAGCGAGGCGGGCAGAACATCCACGGGCCTCCGGGTCTCAGACCCTTCCCCATCTTTTCCCCAAAGGCCCCGCTGCCTGGCTTCCCGTGGGAGGGCTTGCTTCCATCAGGCCAAGTATGGCTTTTTTCCAGTCTGAGGGGAGAGGCGTGTCAGAGAGGACCTGCTATCCTCAGGCAAAGGGCCGCCAGTCAGGCCCCTGTGGGTGTGGGGCGCACATGGGAGTTTGGGTCGAGCCTCGCTGGGGACAGCCCACCTAGGCCAAGTCGTGCTCCTCCACCCGCCCTCAGTTTCCTCACCTGTAAAATGGGAGGGTAGTGGTGAGGCCACTGCGGCCACAGTGAAAGAGTGGCCAGAAAGAGCCACAGCACCCCCAGAGCCAGCCAGAAGGGCAGGGGCTGGGAACCACAGGTGGATCTTGACGGCAGCAGCATCCCCCTGTTGGTCTGAGTCAGAGGATGGAGTCTGGGAGGATAAACCCATCTCCTCCCCAATTAGGCATTAGGGCCTGTCCATCATTTTGACCCCTGAAGGAACACCTTACCCATCAGTCCCCACTGGACTCTAGCCCACTTTTCTCTCCCGGCCCTCTTTGATCCAACGCAGATGTTCCCAAGGGAATTTTCTAACTCCCAATTATTTATTCTGTAAATATGAACTGACACCTTCTACCTGCCAGACCCCGTGCTGGGTGCTGGGGAAACAGCGGTGAACTAGTCACCACGCCCCGGAAGCATTTGTTCCTGTGGAGGGAGATACAGTGAGCAAGTATCTACATAGCTTGAAGGGTAGAAATAAGTGCCTCGAAGGACAGTAAAGTAGGGTGAGGGGAGAGAGAGTAATAGGAGGGGGGTGCCTGGCACGAAGTGACATTTGGGCTGACCTGAAGGAGGTGAGGGAGTGAGCCAAGCGCAGGGAGCCATAAGGCAGAAGCCCTGTAGGGGGAGCTTGTCCAGCTCCTGCTCAAGGAGCAGCAGGAGGCCAGTGTGACTGTGGGGAAGGGAGTGAGGGGAGATGGGGGAGATGAGATCTGAGAAGCAGTAGCCAGTGCCTCCTTGTAGGTCACAGTAAGACATCAGAGAGTTCTGAGCAGTAGGGTGACATGATCTGGCTTGGGTTTTCACTGAATCCCTCTGGGTGTTGTGTGAAATGGACTGAATGGGCCAAGGGTGGAGGCAGGGAGACCCATGAGATGTTCAACCAGGTGTTGTGTTCAGACTCGTGCGGTAGCAGTGGAGGTGGGGAGGAGGGGTGGGACTCCGGAAATATTTTGAAGTTGCATCCAATAGGATTTGTGCATGGACTGGAATGTGTGTAAAAGAGAAGATCAAGGATTACTCCAAGGGGTTTGGTCTGAGCAACTGGAGAGACAGAGCTGCCATTTTCTAAGATGGGTCGGCTATGGGAGGAGCAGGTTTGGGGAGAGATGAGAAGTTCTGTTTTGGACATAGGAATGAAACCGGCAAACAGCCATTGATGATTAAGTATCTAGGTACTAAAGTTTTTCCTTTCTGCAATTACTGATTATAACTTTTAGCTGTTTAACCCACCCATTGTTCACGGTGCTGTTTCGGCAATATGCTCTCTCACTCCCACTAGGCTCCTATAGATAACGTCTCCCTGGAGCCTGGGTCACCATGGGAATGGGTGTGTGAGCTGTTTTTCAGTCAGAACTCCTTGTCCACTTCAGGCGGGTTGAGACGACCAATTCAACAACTGGGCCCGCGCAGAAGTCAGACAGGCGACCTTTTGACGTCAAGAGGCTAAAAACTCCACCCTCAGATCATGCTAACGCTGCCATTGTGAACACGGGTCCTAGAAGAGGCACGGGGTCTGACTACGCTTGCGCCGATCATCAATTACCTGACCTCTCCTCACCTCCAGTCACCTCTCTCCACACTTCAGACCACCTTGCCCCCTATCCTATAAATATCCCTGAGTCCCTGTTTTTGGGGAAGTGAATTTGAGGCTCATGCTCTCGCTTCCTCACGTGGCTGCCTCGTGAGTAAACTCTCTCTCTGCTGCAATCTCGTCGTCTCGGTGTTTGGCTTTCTGGGCGGTGGGCAAAAACAAACCTGGGTCTGTAACATAAATTTTTTTTAAACTTTTTATTTTGAAATAATTTAAAACTTACAGTAAAGTTTGTAAGAACTGTACAAAGAGCTCCTGTATGTATTCATCCAGATTACCCAATTGTTAACATTTGCTTTATTGTATTCTCTTTTCTCTCTTTCCACATATGTGTGTGTGTATGTGTGTTTCCCCTCTGCCCCCGAACCAAGGTTATTATGTTTCTTTAATCTCTGCTTTTCTTGTGTATGTGTGTGTGTGTGTGTGTATGTATGGTGAAATAACAAAATTTACCTTTTTTTTTTAAAGATTGGCACCTGAGCTAACATCCGTTGCCAGTTTTCTTCCTCTTTTTTTCCTTCTCCCCAAACCCCCCAGTACACAGTTGTATATTTTTAGTTGTGGGTCCTTCTAGTTGTGGCATGTGGGACACTGCCTTAGCATGGCTTGATGGGTGGTGCCATGTCCGTGCCCAGGATCTGAACTGGTAAAACCCTGGGCTGCCGAAGTGGAGCGCACGAACCTAAGCACTCGGCCACGGGGCCCAGCCCCTAAAATTTACCATTTTAACCATTTTTGAGGATATGGTTCAGTGGCATTAAGTGTATTCATGTTGTTGTACAGCCATGACAACCATCCTTCTCTGGAACTTTTTCATCTTCCCCAACTGAGACTTTGTATCCATTAAACAGTAACTTCCTATTCTCTTCCCTGAACAGCTGGGCAACCACCATTCTACTTTCTGTCTCTCAATTTGACTTCTCTAGGTACCTCATATGAGTATAATCATATACAGTATTTGTCCTTTCGTGACTGGCTTATTTTGTTTAGCATAATATCCTCAAGGGTCATCCATCTTGTAGCGTGCCAGAATTTTCTTCATTTTTAAGGCTGAATAATAATATATTGCATAATGTTTTCAAAGTTCACCCATTTTATAACATGTATCAGTACATCATTCTTTTTCTTTTTTTTAGATTTTTAAAATTTTTCCTTCTTCTCCCCAAAGCTCCCCGGTACATAGTTGTATATTTTTAGTTGTGGGTCCTTCTTGTGGCCTGTGGGATGCTGCCTCAGCATGGCTTGATGAGTGGTGCTAGGTCCACGCCCAGGATCCAAACCGGCAAAACCCTGGGCCGCCGGAGCAGAGCACACAAACTTAACCACTTGGCCACAGGGCCGGCCCCGTTTTAAATAATTTTTTTTTCTTTTAGATTTTCTTTTTAGTACTTCGTTCTTTTTATTGCTGAGTAGTATTCCATTCCATGGATGTACTACATGTTGTTTATGTATTGATCAGTTGATGGACATTTGAGTTGTTTCCACTTTTTGGCCATTATGAATAATGCTGCTGTGAACATTGGTGTATAAGTTTATGTGTGGATGTATGTTTTCACTTTTTTGGGTATATGTCTAAGAGTGGAATTGCTGGGTCATTTTTAACTCTATGCTTAAGTTTTTGAGGGACTTCCAAACTTTTCCACACTGCTGTACCATTTTACAATCCCACCAGTAATGTATGAGGGTTCTAGTTTCTCCACATCCTCACCAACACTTGTCTTCTAGCCATCCTGTTGGGTATGAAGTGGTATCACATTGTGGTTTTGATTAGCATGTCCCTAATGATTAGTTTTGTTGAACATCTTTTCGTGTGCTTATTGAAAATTTGTCTGTCTTCCTGTGGAGAAATGATTATTCAGATGTTTTGCCCTTTTTTTTTTTGAGGAAGATTAGCCCTGAGCTAACATCTACTGCCAATCCTCCTCTTTTTGCTGAGGAAGACTGGCCCTGAGTTAACATCCATGCCCATCTTCCTCTACTTTATATGTGGGACGCCTGCCACAGCATGGCTTGCCAAGTGGTGCCATGTCCACACCCGGGATCCGAACTGGCGAACCCTGGGCCACCAAAATGGAACATGTGCACTTAACCGCTGCACCACTGGGCCAGCCCTGTTTTGCCCATTTTATAATTTGTTTTTTTCTTGTTGGATTGCAAAGGTACTTTATATATTCTATTTATTACACCCTTACCAGATAATATGATTTGCAAATATTTTTCTCCAGTTTCGTGGATTGTCTTTTCATTTTCTTGATAGTTTCAAGAAGCACAAATGTTTTTAACTTTGGTGAGGTTTATCTATTTTTTTCTTTAGTTTCTTGTACTTTTGATATCATATCCAAGAAACCATTGCCTAATCCAAGGTCATAAAGATTTACACCTATGTTTTATTCTAAGAGTTTTATGGTTTTAGCTCTTAAATGTAGGTCTCTAATCCACTTGGAGTTAATTTTGTATATGGTGTGAGGTAAGGGTCCAACTCCCTTCTTCTGCATGTGGATATCCGGTTGTCCCAAAACCGTTTGTTAAGACAACTGCTCTTTCCCCAGTGAATTTTCTTGGCATCCTTGTTGAAAATCAGCTGTCCATAAATGTATGGGTTTATTTCTGGACTCTCAATTCTATTTCATTGATATGTATGTCTTCCCTTATGCCAGTACCAAAGAATCCTGATCACTTTAGTTTTGTAGTAAGTTTTGAAACCAGGAAGTGTGTCATCCACCTTCTGTTTTTTTCAAGATTGCTTTGGCTGTTCAGGGTCTCTTGCATTTCCACATGAAATTTAAGATGAGCTAGTCAATTTCTGCAGAAAAGGCAGTTGGGATTTTGGTAGATTATGTTGAATCTGTATATTTAATTTGCAGGAGTCTTACCATCTTAACAATACTAAGTCTTCTGATCCATGAACATGAAATGCTTTTTCCTTTACTTAG